TTCTTATCCAATGGATAATAGAATGCAGATTTCGAGCAAACCGCAGGGTCTTGCATGCTTTTCATTTTTGAAATGCGTTTCCTTATCCATTGAGTAAATTACCAGTCTTGAAAAACGCAAACATATAAAAATTTTACTTTTAACAAAAAATAATTATTTGGTTAAAAATTGTGATTGGTGACATGAATGCGTTTTACCAAAAAAAACTTGATTTCCGCATCCGCATTTGTTACACAATCAAGGCCTAAATACCAAAATAGGAAAATCATCAAGAACGCAAGAAGATCTCAACTTGGCCTTGATCTTGGAAAATGTGTAATATATTTATGGGTCTATTACTTTTTTCATGGTCAGTCTTCTGGATTGCTGACGCCGACGTTAATTATTGGAGAATAGTTTATTGAGTAGTTACGACGATCATGGCTTTAACGTGGCGGATATATGTTTTTATATATTAACGGAACGTCGATCCATCACGTATCTAAATATATATACTTTTTTTTTTTTGTTTTTAAGAAATATTTTCATTTTTCTATACATAATTAATTAATTAATTTTTTAGTATTTTTAAATTATTTGGATTCTGTAAATTGATCACCTTCCTATTAAAAGAAAAGTACAATTAGTTAGAATGATTATTTGTTTTAAGCTTATTGGTTCAAAACTATGACTTGTCATGGAAAAATTATGATATGTCTATAGAAAAAGATGACATGGCTTTACTCTTTTAACACAATTTTTATCACAACTTAAATTAAAATAATAAATTTCGAAAATTAAAATAATAAATTTCAAAAATTAAAATAATAAATTTCAAAAATTAAAATTTATATTTCGAAAATTTGTTTATAACAACCATTCCGAAATTCTTCTTAAAACTATTATTTTATGGTTATAGTTTCTTCTTTCAAATGATAAGTAATAATAAAAAAATCTCACGATTAAATYTYCCGATTAAAYATAAGAAATTAACAAAATAAAATAAAAAAGRAACACTGAAATTTGAATGTTGGCYAAAAATTTGAACGAGTTTGAGAAAATTTGAATGAGTTTGAGAAACACTGAAAAATGGTATGTAGAAGAAAATTTCTTGTGTCTATCTTCGATCTTTTACCATCAAATCTTCTTCTTGGTATGTCATAATGTGAAATATGAACCTAATTAAAAAGCTAATTGCTAATCAAAAATTTACAATAATGAATCATAATTTTTATTTTTACAAAATAYAYTTACATCTACAHACAATCAYTATATAACACATATCTCYACRTCAATATCACAAATTGATAATAGCAAATTATAATTTTATTCTTACAAAATATATTTGAACCCGCACCGCATTTTTGAACCCGCACATGGTGCGGAAAATCATCTAGTTTTCTATTAATTAAAGTGTTCTAGATAGATAAAATTTGATGTTTCATTTAAAATAAAAATTTAATAATTTTTTAATTAGAGTGCATAATCATATATTTACAAATAGAGGGACTAACAACTAAACTTTTTCCACAAAGTTATCACAGTGCGAACAATTATAGAATCTTCGTACTGTCTAGTTATGTTATGACTGCTGTATATTAATACAGTAATCACTAGTCAGTATTTTGTTAGAGAGAGATTTTGGTTGAAGATAACATTTTGGGCGAAATGATAGAATTTTTACATTGGGCTAATTCATGTCAAATACTAGCCCATTTAGGTCCAACAGCTAATAACATGATTACACTAATGATCTATTAGCCCATTTTAATCAG